CACTTTATGTGTTCGGAAAGCAGAAAATGTCGGAAGGTGTTGCAAATCGCTTGTTGTAGTATTCAAAAACCTCGCGTTTTTTTGCATATTTTCGGTTGCGAACGAACTGTAACTGTGCATTGCGGGAACTTTGTGTCTTTTTCGGCCATTGCAGGCTGCGCTCACACACGCTCACATACCACACGGCTACACCTAGCAAAACTGGGTTCGGAACAGTCTCTGTCACGATTCCCAAAACAGGGTATCCAGCATCTTGCCGGTAACTTTCCACATGTTGCACCTGCGAAACCAGTACTCAAACTGCGCTGAGCGGATCTTTCGGGTGAGCGTGGGGCTACCGGGGGTGCGGTCTGTGTGTTTAATGTGGGACCGCAACAAACCCCAAAAACGATCGATAATTTGAGTGCCACTCTTGACTTTGATCTGGTCTCCGGTGGGCAACTTGAGGGAGTACACCTTCGTGTAGAGCGGCTTCATCCATCGAACCTGCGGTGATTTTAACTGTTTTCTGGTTGTTCATTTCTGTTATTACAATAAAACAAAACTTAAAGTATAGCATACCGACCGGCCTTCCCATTCACTTTCACTTTTGTCTTCTTATGCACCACGTTGCAATGCATCACCCCTGGAACCTTGAGCTTGTATGCGCGGGCGCCATCGCTATGGAGGATGACCTTCCTGTTTGCAAGATGTTTGGTGGCAATGGGTTTCCATTCCACCTTCCTCATAGCTCCAGGGCCTGGTGCTCGTTTGACGGTTTTTGCGGGATGCAAACGAAACAACTTCAAGGAAGATGGTCGCCCGCGTTCAACCAAACCTCCCCACTGTTCCCAAACCGTATTTTTGGTGCTTGGGGTTGTGTTGTCCGTGAGCTTTCCCACATCCACTTCGTCCACCTCTACATCCTCCCACTTGCCTCCGTAACGGATTTCCTTTTCCTTCAACTGAACATAACGAGCTCGAGATGTGTCGACATTTGTGTAGACCCGCTCTACGGCTTTGTGGTCGAGGTCGAGGATGAGATGCGCAGACTGCGCGGAAACGCCTGCAACCGCGCAATAAAGTGCTGCAGCTTGATGACGAAGACCTGTGATGGAATTTCCCCTGCCCTTGAAAAAGATGGGGTGAAAGTCATGGGCCAAGAGTAGCTTGTTGCATCGACGATGTCCACATCTGTACCCCCATACTTTCTTGGATTTGACATGCGACAAGGAGCCCAAAGTGCCATGACCACACCGAGGACATTCATGACCAGACCAATTGGGAAGGATCTTGTCGATGACGAGCCTTTTGATTAAACTGCGACCGGTCATAGACAACAGCGTATGCACTGAAAGACCCCATCGATCACGATGCCCTTTGTTCTTGGTTGTCTGGGTTCCATGGCGAACATACGGTACCTTCACATATTTCTGTTTCATGGCTCGCTTCTGTACACGCTGCTTGCCACGTTTCGGACAAGGGAATGGTGGCGATTTCATCGCCTTCTTTACACTTTTTGGCATCTTCTTTAATCGCGTAAACGAAAATTCTAACTGACTCAACGGTTAAGCCGCGGAAACAAATCAAGTCTCGAACGCATGGGCTTCAACATGCGACATCGTGACACACAAGGCATGGCAGTATGTTTTGAGCAATCTCAACTTTTCACGTTCGTGCTTCGGCATATCGTCATGTGTGCTACAGTATGCAAAACTTCAGAACTAGCCGGTGTTACGGCTGCGTGCCATTTCTTTAAGCATTATTCTACAGGTGCAGCATACATGTAGTCTAACATACGGTAATCAAACCAAACGTAAAAACACTTGTTTCAAACACCACTATTGGCTCCCGGCTTTCCCTACTACCACACTGTACACATGTGTGCTTCGGTAATCTAGCTCTCATTGTAAATAGACCCGCCATGTCCGAACACATCCGCATCCTCGCCATCATCGTCATCCTTGGTAGCCCCAAAGAGAAACTCTTCCTCCCCCGATGCCACGTCCATCTCATCGTCCTCGTCGTCGTCATCCACTCCCGCGAAAATTGGGTTGGGAATACCGGCATGGGATTCTGCAACATGTGAGTCTTGACTGCTCCGATGCATGGAAGGTGAAGGAGAAAGGTCAATGACACCACTCGGGCCTAGGGCACTGCTGAAAGCAGAACTCGCGAGAAGAAAGCGCGCGCATGACTGGTCGAAATGCTCTTGCTTGACTTTGTTGGTTGGGGTCTTTGGGGCAGGAGGCTCCGGACTGTCTGCACTGAGCGCCTCCCCCTTGCACATATTCGCGAGTCCTGCGTTTGCGTCTGCAAACTCTTCGGGCTCCATTTTGATTCTGATGCCTGCTGGTGGGGCATTGGGGCCGGGCATGTTGTTGTGCTGCTCTACGGTGTTCGCGGCTTGGTGACGGCGCATTGCTTCATGTAGCCAAGCTTGCTCTGTATCGACCCTTTTCTGGTAGTCGGGGGGCACTGGACCATCACGCTTGTAATTGGAAAACCGGGGCTTGCTCTCATCTGAAAGAATGTCCTTCAAATGCCATGGGAATCGAGTCACACTTGTAACCCGTTCGGAGGGGAGTCGAATGAATATGGAGTCGCGACCGAAGACTATGAACACACTGCGTTTGAGTATAGCGCGAGTGTCTGCATCGGAGATATGGCCGATCGCTGGACGGACGATGCTGATGAAATCACTGTGGTCAACGTCCTGCGGCGGCATGTTTGGGATGTCCTTGTCATTGTACGAGTTGTCGATAATGATGCGGAGTTGGTGCTTTGTGAACTTGGCGGCCGTCCAGCGTTCTTTGAGAATGCCTTCCGTATCGCCTACATCACAAAACGCTTTCTTTTTCTTGATGGACTCGTCCGAAATGTCCCCATCGTCATACAATGCCGGAATAGTTTTGTTGAATGGCAACCCTCGGAAGAAATCGAAATCGGATGAGCTTCTGAATGCACCGTTGCCGCCATGATATCTGCTGAATGCCATGGCGAGCGTGCGTGCCAGTGGCGTCTTACCCTTCCCCGGTTCGCCCAAAAGCCACAAACTGTGATCCAGTAGGTATGGGACTACGGTTTCCATGACACCCTGCACGAACATAGGCTCGAAATCCTGCATGGTCAGGTCGTACCTAGTGGTCAGTGAGGCCAAACACCCGTCGTTTGCAAGGCTGTCAAGGGCTCGCTGAACAAGCTTTTCGGGCCAGCCCTTGATTGGCGAACCCTCCCGATTGATATGCCTGTGAATCCAACGAAGTTGCCTCAATTCACCCTTGTCCCGCTCGCCTTCGTTGATGATGAAATCCCATCCTGCATCCTGCTCCTCGTCATTCGATGTGCTCAAGACCGATGATGAAGCGGGTCGTTTCTTCCTTTATGGCTGTTATGCTCATGTTGTACCATTGAGCCCAATCTTTTGAACGAACAACCTATACAAAACCAATTTTGAATGACCAACCCTTACAAAACCAGATTTGTTTGTGTATAAGAAACAACACATTAGATGAGGCTCTCGCTTGAGAGTGAAAAGTGTCTGTATTGAGTACCGCCCATTTGCTCCAACATCCACTGTAGAGCCTTGCGTTCCACGACTTTGTTCCCGCTGCCCCACGCGACCTCATAGCCCGTGCCCCGGATTAATGTCTGGATAACGGCCGCGGAGGTTTTGATTTGGCCAACAAGGACGTAGTGCGTCAGGACGGTAATCTTGCCGTTGTTTTGCGGAACGATGAAATACTGCGATTTATACTCGAAGGGTGGTGTTTTTTTCAATCGCAGTGGTTCTGGTAGCTCATGGAAACACTTAGCTTTGAGGATCCCCTTGACTTGTTCTCGGTCAACATCTTCAGAGGGCACATCATGCACGATGTCGATGAAGTGTTTGAGACTTTTAGCTGTGTCGGATAGCCTTGGCAGGTACTTTGACGATATATCTACATATCATATCGTGTATATGCACATATACAAACATCACTAGAGCTCGCCGTCACCATTAAGAGAGTAACAAGATCCAAAAAAAAAACATCAAGCAACTACATTTGTTCGAGTAGCTCTCGCATCGGAAGATTTGTGATGTTAATCACCCCAACTGGCATAGGACCCACACACACATGTTCATGCATCTCACGCAGGACCATATCCGCAGTTGCCTCCTTTGCTTGATTAAAGTGCACCTCGTCCGGATGGATTTCCATGGCTTCGTCTGCTGCAAAAGAGCAGTCAGTAGGATTCGAATCACACTTGATTGCGTACAGCTGCGCGTAGCTCGAGGTAATACGTAAATTATAGAACCACAAGGGTGCTGTTTGAATACGCTCCTTGAGCTTTTGGGGCACCCGCCCACCCATCCACCCCCGTAAAGCGCACCCTAACAGCCCACCCGCCCACCCACCCACCCCCGTAAAGCGCACCCTAACAGCGTGCTTTACGGGGTCGGGGGCCACCCGCCCACCCACCCACCCCCGTAAAGCGCACCCTAACAG